TCTTTCCCTTTTCCTCTTGAAGTTGAAGTTGCAACTAGACCTTTTTTAGAAGCTTGCATTATAATAAATATAAGTAAAGGGTTAATAGGCATTGTAGTTAGAGAAATAGGCTTTTTATAATGCAGGCTCACTAAGAAATGATAAATGGGCAAGACCACAAATAGTTGCATGATTTGGTTTACATCAAATACAACCAACAACTCATGCAAAGTTATACTCTTAGAGATGAAATTGACCCCATTGAACTCAATGACATTGATGAGTGTAATGAGTGATTAGTTGGGGAGGTGGATGATGATAATAAAGATGCAGGGAATGAATTAGTTTTGCTGATGATACCACACTAAATTGGGGCAGCTGTTTATAAAGCTTCAGGAGTTGGTGAACTTATAATCTATACTAGGACGAAGAAAAGCAAAAAAAGAAAGGAGCCATCAGGTGATGTTGTTGTTAGTGCAAGTACCCGAGCCCAATGCTTCTAGAAAAGGTCCAGCTACAACTTCAACCTCAAGGAAGTAGTTAAAGTTGATTGAGAATTATTAAATTTTGAGGGATTTAAAGAGTAGGAAGGATATGTCTTACAAGATGACAAGGAAAATGATAATGATTATGCTGGGATTGAGGAAGAGCCGGAGGATTAGACATTTACCTTATGTGTTGGTTTATGAACATTTTGTTGTTATTTTAATTTTGAAGTCTTGAACTTGGTGTTTTATCATCATTTTATAATTATGTTAAGTCTAAACTTCCTTGTTATTATTTGTTTTATGGCTGTTTTTGTTATTTCTACATTGCAATTTTACTTTTGTACATGTTTATATTTATATATATGTATATATTATAGTTTTATTTTGGGCGCCATATCCAGTAACGCCATTCACCATATTTCTAAGGCGGAATTTTGGCTTGCCACCATTGATAACACTAAGTGACCTTCTCGGGGGGCACTCTCAAGTCTATGTGGGACCATGTTAGCATGTGATACTTCTATTTTTTTTTTATATAGATCTTTGAAACAAATGTTGTTTATGTACTTTAAAATGAACATTAGGACCAAGAATAGTACCTTTTGAAAGCTATTTTTGTAGAGTTGAACTCACAGACTTCACACTTGAAATGTTCAACTCACGACATGAGGGGACATGTTAGTATTCTCACATCGATTAGTGATATGGCCAAAATTAATGTATAAAAGTGAGAAGTAATTCTCACCTTATAAGCTGATTTTATAGGATTGAGTTAGACCCATAATCAACTTTCTTAAGAAGAGGGGTCAAAACCAAAATTTGTTCATTTTATAATGACCAAAAACAATGATTCTAAATTTTAGAGGGATGAAAAACAAAAAAATTCTTTTGCAAGGACCAAAATCATAACTCATTTATTTTACATGGACTAAAAATGTATTTAAGTCTATTTTTAGTATTTGGCATTGATATTTGATGTATAGCTATTTCTGGAGAGGGGAAAATGCATGGCTGTTGGTTTTATCTTATTTTGCAACCTAATGGCTTTCTAAACAGCTGGTAAACTGTGAAAATGTGTGATGTTTACTTTGTAGGAAGTATTCTTTAATGTCATTGATTTGAGTGTAATGGGAACCTGATAGGAACCCAAAGACAATTAGGCCCAAACCCAAAACAAGTAAGGTGTTTGTTTGATAGGAAAATGAGGGCAACACAGGGGATAAGAGCCAAGTGAGAGAAAGTGAATATGATCATTTCATTTAACTAACTGCTGAGCTGACAGGGCAGGAAAAGGGGGTTTTGGTTGTATGGGGTATAAGGTTAGTAGTGAAAATGGGAAGGGCAGACTGGGATTGGCTGGAAGTCTGGAACTTGTGTTGTGGGATAGAATAGGCATTCTAACTGCCTACTGTATTTTCATTTTCATAGCACCAGATCCTGTATTCTCGTGATACTGGACTGATATAGTGAAGATTACAGTGAACATTCCATATTACTCGTTTATATTTTGGGCACCTATCAGAAACTAACACAAGTTTCAAGCTGGCATATAAGATTTGGAGGCTAATTGCCTAATTGACAAGATGTTTGATTACTATCATATGCGTTTAAGCCCTTTTTTCCTGTGTCACTCTCTGTTGCCTGTATCAATCATTATTTTCCTAGTCTGCTCAGCTAGAAAATCCTTTTCTCTACCTTCACATCCTCAAACTGTTTGATCCCATGCATATTTTCCCCAGAGAGCTTAGCATTGAGGTACTGCTCATTATTTGGTTATATTTTAATTCATGTGTGTCAGGTTGTCAACATTCTTCTCAAAAGGGCTTTTCATTTTCAAATATTTTATTATTCATTTTAATTTCTCTCAAGTTTTCTTCTGATTTTTCATAGTGTTTTCACCTTACTGGGCTATGAAATTCATGTGATTGATCCTTTAAAGAGGAAGGTATGACTCAATCCCCTCTGCATTCTTGTTTTTTAAAATTCTTTATTCATTTTTTCTTTTTTCCCAAGGTTTTCC